AAAACTTTTGGCGATCTTTCATGTGGATGTATCTTTGTAGTAGAATAGTCCTGGGTAATTTTTGTATTCAACCTGTCCAAGGTGAATAGAAACAACTAACATTTTCATATTTATCTTTTAAATAAAGAAGTAAATCGCATTTCTGTTGGTTTAAACATGATAGACTAGTCTCAAGCCATATAATGAATATATCTGATGTCTCATGTTAATTCAGAAATATTATAAAAATCTATGTCAAAACTCAAAAATGTATGCAATTCAGCCCGTTTTACGGTACATACTTTATAATATCATATTTAATTGATTGATAATTATAAAGTGTTACCTTTTCCACAAGTTTTCTCTACCCGCCTAATATTACAGGATTATTATGTTATATTACCTAATAATCATGTCGATATTATAAATATGAAATACTTCTTGTTTAAGAGCGAGAGGTCTCTATTTTGCATATCTTTTTTCTATTCAATATTTTTTAACCTAAAATCAATTTTAAATTCTTGAAATAACAAAAAGAATCTTTTGCACTTAAGCTAATTTTTTATTATAAATTTACTGGTGATAGAGTTTTGTCATTCTTTATCATATTCTTTTTTTACTTATGTTACCATGAAACAATAATGTGAGCTACGCATTTTATGTTAAAATTCAAACAATACTTTAATTAATACAAACACAAAAAAGGCAACATCTTAGCTATAATAGCGCCAATGTGTAAGTAGGGAAGACAGAGAGGCTAGTATTAACGGGGGTATGTATCAACATATTAATTTTCACCAAACTATACGCAAACAGTTTAAGTTTGTATTGTCGTTGGCATCCATTAATGACTACAAAGACGTTACGTCTTGACTGCCACCGGCGGCATGCCGTAACACAAATTATACATATGGTGTAAATTTTGACAGATAAATTAAATTTTGAATGCGAATGTTTTCTGATTTCTGCCATAATTATATCTACATATAAACGAAACTAAATAAAAGCGACTCTTCCTTAAAAATCACTTGAAAAGACATATCTACCAAACATTATACAAAGGAAACTAATATATCTAAGACACATTATATATATATATATATATATATATATATATATATATATATATATATATATATATATATATATAATATGTCTTAATATGTGTCTAAATAATTATATATATATAAAAGACAGACTTCACATCTACAAACTAAATAAACACGTGTTGCGCTAAAAGTGCAAGGGACCGTAATACCATTTCACATTTACGAGAAAGCAAACTACGTCCCGCCCGTGTAGGTAGGTACTGATTGCGGTATCTACTCAAACCCTTAATGAAAACAAGCACGTATTTTGTTTGTCTTGTCGTTCTATTAATTAAGGACCTTGTTTACTGTTTCAATGCGACAGGTCTTAAATAAGCGTCGCACGACTGAACTTTTAGCACTTTAATTCATTTATTGGAATACAGTATAAATAAATTGCCATCCTAACAAATTTCGTCCCTTCTAACCATGTAATTTAACTACGAAGATAAAATACATAATACTCGTATATTGCAGTGGTCAATGAATACTGGGCAATGAAAACTTAATTTAGTTCTGAACTCCAGACACACAAACAGTTCCAAACTCCTTCCTCTAGTATTATTTTGAGTAAATATAGTCGTGTAAGGTATTTAATTGAACCAACCTAACTAAGTTAAGAAACTGATAATTTATCAATCCAACTATTATATTATTTCAAAGAGCAAGTTTACCTTGGAGTTACTTTTTTTTTAAGTATTTAAGTATTGGTTATGTAATAGGTACAATGTTTCCTCGACTTTATCATCATTTCAATTTTTCACTTAGGTTTTCTCTGAAAACAGCTGTAAAAACACTCCTTGCAACACACTAAAATTGTTATTCGTAGAGTGATCAAAAGAGAGGATTACATCTCTTTTGATCACTCCACGAATCACAATTTTATGAGATAAGCAAATTTTAACTATTTAATCTAGTATTCTATATTAAAATTCCTATTTTCCGATCAAATATTGTCCAACGGATCTGTTACCGCTTTATTTATAAAAAATACACTGTTTTTAATAGTTTATAATCAGATGTCCCGTTGACACTCAACACATACAAAAATCTTGCCTTGTCTGCAAATTAGATTAACTTATTCGATATATTATTTAAGTTTGATTTGTTTTTAAAACCTGGTCATGAACCGAGCCCTGTGCCTCGTTAAAGTGAAGCACGTGTCACTAAAATCAGAAATTATTGTATTCTTTCACAAAATGAAAATGATAATACAAATATCTCGTAACAAGGCCATGATGATTGATATAAAGAAGTACCTTTTTATGTCGGCACGTATAAATCATCTCCATCTCAATTAATGTCCTGCCGATATACCGCCAATGGAATAGGCGTTCTCGCTTTGATTGATAAGACCACAAAAATTCTGGGATATCACTCTATTCGATATACCTTTTCTGTGTTACCCGACTTTCAAAGAAAGTAGGATAATGTTTTTAAATATGAGTATATCTTAAGTGCAGTATACTGATGAATCTTAATAAAATAATTATAACGGCCATAACTATTTTTATTACTTCGACATAAATAACAATCAAGTTTACCTACTGTATCTCTGTAACTTGTTAAATATCTATATACTGTATCTATCTTTGTTTTTGCATATTACAATACAAACGATTTTCCGATTGCAATTTTCTTCCCTAATTATCCATAAAATGGATAGCATCTATTCTAGACCATAAATTTATTTAACTGTGACATAAATAGATTGAATACGAATATATTCACTAATACATCCAGGACTGTCCTGAAGCTGATAAATTATTACAGAATTATCGCTCTATTTCTATTAAACACTTTGAAATAAATTGATTTTTTTTATTCAAAGACTAATTCTAAAATTTCGCTTCACATTATTATTTAAGCAGATCTAGAACAAATTATATTTGAAATTGTTTAGAATTATGAAGTTATTTAAAACAAGTTTGTGAAATAATCTAAATTAGTAATTATAAATAATATATGTTATAAAAACAAAATAAGGAGAATTACAAACAAACTTCGAGAGTAAATAGCAAGTTGCCGTTTTAATTTTCATTGCGTTTAAGAAACACGAAGCAAAATTCTACGAAAACAGTGTCAGATTGATGCATGAGTTCGTGTTTTTCTTTGTACTTGCCCCATCAATCTTACAGATCTATTAACGTCGTCTTTAGCGTTCTTCCTAATTATCTGAGCAAACTCATACAATCCCAGAGCTATAAAGGTTTAAGGATTAAGGATGTAAACGACGCCATAATAAATTTATTTACGTCATCATTTTAACGATATTAAATAATAACCAAATATTTTATTTAATAAAAAATTAAGATTTAATACTTTTTAAAGAAAATTATACAAGTAGAATGCAATACTGTGTATTCATTGCCAACATTGCATAATGCACATAGTGGTACGCGATGTCATCGCTAAAGTAATTCGTATTTTTTATTTATATTAATTACAAATATAAACATAATACATGTAGATTTACTCCCGTGTTGATCCTATACGATTTATAAAAAAGCAAATCTAGAGAAGATATAGAAAAAAAAATTGCAAAAGAAATTCAGGCCAATTTAGAACTTCCTCTATTTTGAAAAAGTTGGTTTTTAGCAAAGGTAAAGTTTCATATAGACAAATGATCAAGCAGCCAAATAGACATAACTAAAATAGATATATGAGATTATATATAAAATTAATTTTAGCTAGTCGCTACAGAAGCGTAACAACGATTTAATAAAACAATTCAGAGAGACAAACCAACTATCGACACACTATCTGAAATAGAATTGACTATGTTATAAAACATACCTTGTTAGTCTAAAACTTTTTATTTTTTACGGATTGAAACCAATCATAAATTATAAAATACTCGTAACCCATGTACTTTCCATTGTAAGTAGCTGTAATCTAGCTTCCAAAACTTTCTTCAGCCACGCGACATTTTTACGTTATATTGAAGTTCGTGACGCGCGACGCGATGGTGTAAACAAGATAAAGTTGCGAAACTAAAACTTGACTACCTCAAAAAATTACTGTTATTATTATTAGTTTTTTTTTTTATTTTAAAAACTACAAACAAAGTTATGCAAACCGATTTTTAACCATTATATAATTGGTTGTTGATTATATAATTGGTTAAGGTAAAGTATTCTTCATTGTAATAACATTAATAATATTTATTAGATATCTATTCCGTATAAGAAACACAACAAGACTATTTTATCTCACATTCAAGTACGTAGATACTAGCTAGAACCCTTCAACTCAGTATAAAGGCAAGTATAAGAATTGTCGATGATCTCAGGCTTACAAACGGTATCGAACAATTTACTCGTATTTGAAATATTTTACTCTGCGTGTTCTACTGCTTGTACAATGGACTGTGTTAAGTAAATTTTTAACATGATGCCCTTTTTACCATCATACAGTTCGCCACCAACAGAGAGTTCACCCCCATACCTTAAAGTCTGGATGGTTCCGTATAGCGCGATTTCAGAGATGTTTCCTCTCACAAGCGCTCAGGTTACGGAATGAGTTCCCTATCAAGATTTTTGCAATAGTCATGAACAGCATGAGGTTCTTCAAGAAAGGAGTAATGTGGTTTCTCCAGGATCGAGAAAGTGCGCGTAATGCCCCTAGTAGTGCACGCGTTCATAGGCTACGGTAACCGCCATCAGGTGAGCCGTATGCTTGTTTGCCATCTCAGTATTATGAAAAAACATTCATAGAAGAGTAAGAGTTATGGGATAGATTTGTTTTACTAGAATACTAATGCTCCTCAATCCACAGAATCATGAAAGACCTTTCCACGACGAAAGTTTTCAATCCTTTAGAATATATTTTTTTATTCAAATAAAATGTTTTGAGTATACCTTCACTATTTGTAGCATTTGGTATATTTAGATTACTTTATTATATTACTTTATTATATTTCTTTGTCCACAGTCTGATATAACTCCTAATGAAACATTATCAGTCGACTCTTCTACGGTCTCTGATATTTCTCCAATTGAAATTGATTGTACGAAAGCCTAAAAGCTTATGTTTCAATTAGATTTTTTTTTATACAATTTAGAATGGCAAAAAAGCTGACGGCCCACCTAAAGGAAAGTGGTAACCGTCGCCTATAGACATGAGCAGAGTATACTGTTTCGCTTCTGATACCCCCCATGCGTTGCCATTACTGAGGACTCTAACCTTTAAGTCATCAGGGCCAGATTATATATCAGCCCATTTTCTTGTTGTTTGTTCAAAATCCATATCTGTCCCTATCACACTTTTATTTAAACGTTCTCTTTCAGACTGTAAAGTACCGGCTATTTAGAAATCCACATTTATCACACCTGTGCATAAAAAAGGCTTCAAAACTGAAATTGAGAATTATAGAACCATTTCCAAACTATTTCATATCGCTAAAATATTTGATAAATTAGTATATGAACAGCTATACTCTGCTATTAAAGTGTTGCATGATTTTCAGCATGGTTTCTTTAGGAAACGATTCACTGTATCAAATTTAGTACTGCTAAATAAATATCTCACAGATGCTATCAATAATGGGCATCAAATCGATGTCATATGCATGGACTACAGTAAATGCTTCGATCGAATTGATCATAGTTTACTCATGTACAAACTTCAGTTAATTGGTATTAGAGAGGACCTCCTGTGATGCCTGACTTCATATATAGGGAACCGATCGCAGGCCGTCGTAGTCAATAATTATATGTCCAGTTGTATATATGTACCGAATGGAGTACCGCAGGGTTCCCTGCTTGGGCCGTTACTGTTTGCAATTTTTATAAATTACATCATCAATTATTTTCATAACTCCCAGCTTCCGTGTTTTTCTGATGATATGAAAGTCTTTAGGACCGTATCTTCACTAAGCGATATGCAATGCCTTCAGTCTCATCTATAGCGCCTCGATACTTATTGTATTCTTAATAACCTAGACCTTAACCCCACTAAATGTGTTATGGTCACATTTACACGTAAATCCAAATTATTTGATACCAAATACAATCTTAAGGGTCATGAACTGCAGAAAAAAACTATAAAAGATTTAGGTGTTACCCATGATGCGAAATTAATTTTCGACGTGCATATCGACAATATTGTATCCAAAGCTTCACAGACACTCCTTTTCACAGGACACACACACTTCACAGGATTCCTAATGCGCAGCTCAACTTATTTTCAGCAAGCCAAAACCTTGAAAATTCTTTACTGTTCATTAGTTAGAAGTAAAGTAGAATACGCCTCACAAATTTGAAATCCGAGATATAAAACTTATATATCTCGCCTTGAAAATATCCAGAAAATGTTTATTCGTTTTTTGACTTATAGATTACATGATTGTTATGATTATGTAATTTATTAAAATTATGTAATTTTATTAACAGAGTGAAATCCGTATAATATTCATTGTAACAGTTTCTTTTCCCGACTCATGACGTCATTACTAGACAATATAAATATTAAAAATTAAAAAAAATAATATGTATTTATTGAAACCATACAAAATTACAAAAGTAGGGTAGTGTACGATAACATTCGATTCTTCAAACTATCTTGAATTCTGTAAAAAAACACCACTTTTTCACACTCTAAAAGCGCAGAAATATCGATAATATTGCATATCTGATGAGAATAACTTCCGCTGAGGTCGATTGCCCTGAATTACTACAATAATTAAAATTAAATGTACCAATCAAGTCTAAAAGACAAAAGACTTCTCTATTTGTCCCACTAGTGTCAATGAATTATAGACAAAATTCGATCCTTTGGCGAGCTAGTAACAACTTTAATATTCTTATTGTTATATAAATTGTTAATTCCTATTTTTGTTGCTTTGTGTGTATGTGATAATACAGATAAAAGGATCTGCATTGTTGCTATTTGTGAAAACCTATCAGTAACTTGGTTTGTGAACCTAAACTGTATCCATTTACTCTAGTGTAGCCCTTATTTTCCTGTAAATAAATAAATAATGTGCTTATCTCTAAGAATTGCACCTGCATTATTCCAGCTTGCCGTCGCTCTGAGACTATCGTGAACTCCTTTGTATTCGCTCCTCTAACAATCGCATAACCTGAATCACTACAATTAGGTTACAAAACAAATCTGAGACAAGCTTAACTATCCTTTGCCTCAACTTAAATGCATTTCTTAAAGGTACAGAAACAATAGCTTGATGTGTCTCCATTTTTACTCGCATTAATAGAATCTGCACATCTTCAAATTATACTTAGCAATAAAAACACACAAGATATAGCAACATAAACGTAGTTTTTGTTTCTCACCCCAGACCATTATTTGTTTTTACTTCTTAAGGGCTTCTTTATGTATATTAGTACAAGCCCTATCACAACCTGAACTGATTTCTCAGATTTTATCTTTTTTACGCGTTTCTCTCAAAAAACTGCAATAAATATTTCAAGTAATATAAAAAAAAAATTAAAAATAGCCAACTCAGCCCCACCATCTTTAGTCAACGCGTTTAACAACAAATATTCAATTTTTATTGTCAATTACGTTGTTCATTTATCGAATCCTTACTTTTATACTATAAATATAAAAGTGATTTTGTTTATTTGTTACCTCTTAACACCTTAATAACTTAACAAAGTAATATAAAGTTTTGTATACACGTACTTAACGGGATGGAGAAGACATTGGCCACTTTTTATTCCGGTCATGCAGACGAAGTCGCGGTAAGTTGACACCATCTAGTATTATTATGTATTCAGTAATTTATGAAAAAATCAAAGCAAATTTTAAATTTGCCGAATTAATTTCTTCATGTAACTTGTCTAAATAGATAGACACTGCCGTTTTACCTATATAATATTCACGAAAAAGCGCCAATGTTGTTGAGTTTCGGTCTGGAGGGTAAGATAACAATAAACTCTGACATTCTGAATTGTCCGTTGTTCGTGTCTATTTAAATACTTATAAACGATCGATAACTTTGCTTTGCCTGATAAGAACTCGTAGTAATCATGAGCCGTCAGCTATTTACGTAGTCGAACAGACGTTGGACATTTCCAGTAGATAGGTATAACATAAATAATAGATCAGTATAAGTTTATATTTAAAAAAAAATTAAAATAAATTGTGAAAAAAAAAAATATTCAGTTTTATTGGTAGACACTATATTTTTATATAATCTTCAATTTTACACTTATTCATTTATATTTATATCTGTACAGTTCCAAGGTCATCTAAAGAATAAGGTCAAGCTCACGTCCAAAAATGTCGGGGTGCTCAATAAAGCAAAACGATATTGTACTCCGAAACAAAGACACAAATTGTACAAGTCGCAAGTCCGGCCCCTCAAGAAGTACTCTCATGTGTGGATCGGAGCACCTGGATACCAACTCAGTTGTCTTCACTCAGTATCAATACTGGTTATGAGAATTGTCAGCCATCCCAAACTCACAGACGGTATCGAGCCATTAAGTCTAAGGCGAGACTTCCTCCCTTTGTGTATTTTACCGTTTGTAAAAACAGATTTTGTTCTGAAAAATTGTTTGAACTGATACCTACAGCCACCTTTTATCATCACACCGCTCACCATCAACAAGAAATTTATGCTCTCGCGCTTAAACCTAAACGGTTACATATATTTCAAAAGAGTTTTCTTCCATGAACGCTTAGGCTGTGGAACGAGCTCTCTGCTGAGGTTTTCCCTAGAGACTACAGTATGGGGTTCTTTAAAAAGGTATATTAAAGTATCTTCAGGGTCGACAACGCGCACATGACGCGCACCCTTAGTGTTGCAGGCATCCATAGGCTTCAGTGAGCGTTTACCATCAGACCGACTGTATGCTTGTTTACCACCTTTGTGATATAAAATAAAAATATATTTAGTTAATGTACAATTCTACAACAATTGGCAAACACATTAGAAAAGAAAGCTTTACTGAAAAGCTGACTACGTATTGAAGTGTGGGAATGGTGTTAACTTACCAACGCTTCCAGGGGAAATATCAGCGACTGGCCTTTTGCCAGTATGAGAAAATACATTTGTTGTAATTGAGAACATGAGCGCACCCAACTTCAACAAAATAACTTATGGGGCATTGGTTCAAGACCAGGAAAAGTGGTAATTACTATTATATACTACTAACTGCCTGCCCAGTCCTCATAGATGTAATAATGAAAAAATGAGTTTATGACCTAATCTTTTAGATTCTGTTATTAATCTACTTCCAATCACTGTAAATTTTGATGTTTTACTATCAAATAGTTTTATTGCCTAAACCTGCACGTTAAGACACCTCTCTATGACTTTACTCTTTGTCAACGTAATAATTATTAGAGAGTAACGTCCTAGCTGTTACTCATTTACTCCTTTAAACAAATAATGACTAAAACAATATCCATATGGCTCAAGGCTACCTGAAATGATATAAGTATAGATCAAGATCAAGGAATATATTATCAACTAATTGTCCGCAAATCCATGCGCTTGGTAATATTATGATAGATGACTGCAGTGCAGAATCTATTATGGAATAGCAGAAACGCATCTTTTAATATATTGCTAATCACTCTACTATTTTTTTTGTACAACTTAGAATGCCAAACAAGCTGAAGGCCCACCTGATGGAAAGTGGTAACCATCGCCTATAGACATGAGCAGTACCATAGACTTAACAGAGTATACTGTTTCGCCCATGATACTCCCCATGCGTTGCCATTCCTAAGAAGTCAGGTGTTATTCCTTTGTACCCTGTAAATTTACGCCATATCCCACCCTTCAAACCGAAACATAGCCATGCAAACACAACTGCTTTACGGTTGAAACACAAATAATTAGCTTTCTTTTTTTAATGGATGATAATGGAATGGTAGCTCCACCCGCGCTATCGGTATACACTAGCGGGGCACCAGTGAAGGATGATAGATGAGGATGAAGTAGGTCAGTTAGCCCATCGTGACAAATTCAACAATAATTGTTCACGATGGTTTCCAGGGAGAACCACGTGAAGGTCGATCTAATAAGGCATATTGCTAACATTGGGGCT